TTAAATTTAAAAGAATTTACCAGTCTTCCTTTTTGGTTACAGACTTGCGTAAACCGTTTTCTACCTTTCTATTTTTATACGGCTAATTAGACTGTCTTAGCTGCTTTCTCACATTCTGTGTCCAAGTTTTAGGTGCTGAATTTCTTTTCGTAATTTTTACTCAACGTAGGAGAAGACAACGAGGTGGTGCTATTTTAGGATCATCATCATGATAATGTGTGTGTGTGTGTTTGTGTGTGTGTGTGGTTGTGTGTGTGTGTGAACAATACTGTGTTGTTTTTATGTAATAAAAACATCCGCTACCATTTTGGCGTAAATAACTTTTGATTGGATAAAATGGAGATTATAATTTTAATTTATAAACAGGATTAAGGAGATAGAGCAAAATACAATATCAGGTATAGTAAGGTAATTTTTTTACTGATATTTTTGTAAAAACTAAATATTTTATCTATAAAAAGAAAAAAAATTGATTTAACTCAATATTTTTGATTTATGGAGATAAAACAAAATAATTCTAACCTCGCAATTTTCAGATGACTTCAGTTCGTTTTATAAAACATGGCAGTTCATTGTCTTCATTTTTGTTCAAAACACTTGAAAGTGGTTAATCAGCCGATTTTCAATTTCTATTGGATTAGGGATAGTGTCGCTACTGATTTTTTTTTGAGGCCTTTATTGTATTTCTAACATTTTTATTGTTATTAACGGTTTTTAATGGTTCAGGAAAATGTTATAACAGTCTTCAGTATTGCTTCCATTGAATTCAATCTGCCAGTCAAAATTGTTATACTATTTGGATATTTTTATAAAGTTACTTTTGTGATAAATGCATTTTTCAATGGGTTTACCGATAACTTCAGCGCTTTTAACAATGTAATCCCATTGAAGGATGTGGTGAAATTTCATCACAGACGTTAAAGGTACATAGTTAATAATATCGAGGATCCGATTATGATTTTCAGCTATAACTAGATCAAGAATTTGTTCGCAGTGATTACATTAAGTTGAAAAGTGGGCTTAGTAACAAATTGTGTCAGAAACGACTCGGGGAGGATGCCAATAAAATCGCTTGAAAGGGTATCTGTGTTGCTTACATTTGGGATAATGTTCGAGCCCTATTGAATCTCTGGCAAATTAGTCTCCACAAACCAACAAGCAGCTGTTTATATTAGACAGATGCTCATTTGCTTTATTAAGCAATGCTAGATATACTCTCACGAGTATATCTAGATATACTCTCACGAGAATATCACACATGCTAGATATACTCTCACGAGTATATCTAGCATGTGTGGCTTGTAAATGCAATCCAGAAGGATGTGTGCGGAACCATACAATATTTTGCGCCAAATTTTTTCAGGGGAATCTAATAAAACAATTTTGCTTACTTAATAAGGTTTTAATGAAGTGTTGAAATAAATAGCCACACCACCTCCTCTGCTGGACAAGCAATCTTTTCTCAAAAACATATAGTTTTCAATGTTAGTTATCGGTAATTCTTTCCACCAAGTTTCTGTAACGAAGATTATTTTAGGCTTGTATGTCTCAATTGATGTTAAAAACTCTGGCATTTTATTATTAAGTGATATAGCATCGGTATAACAGCATGGTATTTTATGGACAGCTGACTGTTGTAGTAGACTGAAAGTTGAAGGTGATTCATGCTCTTAAGGAATGCCGTTTAGATTCAAATTATCATTGTATGGTTTTAAATTACTTATTGTTGATTACTATTTGTCTACTTTCACATAGTAATAACTTGCCATCGCCCAATTGTTTTTTAAATTAAGAGGCTTGTTTTTCTTTTTTAATTCGTCTCGTAATTATCTATCTTGTATCAATCAAAACTGGATTAACATAAGTGTTTAATATTACGCCGCTCCGCCTTAATTTCTGCTGACAGTGTCTGTCGTCTCGACTGTAATAGGTGAAGGTTTATTTCGATCTTTTGACCGTAAATGAAAGCATTTTATTACATTGTCCGAGTTAATTTTAACGTTTGTTAGAACCTCTTATATTTTGTTCTCATCATTTACTTGTTAGGTTCTGTTTTAGCCAATGCTGAAATGCCAAAGACAATGAGGTTTTTGTCATGTTTTATTTTTATTTTTGTTTTCACTAGCAACACAATTAAGCATATCTAGTTGAGCTGGCATTTTAGTTATTTTTTTTTTCTAACCACAACATTCTACGCTTTCGTTGTTGTTAAGAAAGCAGCAGTGTTTTCCTCTAGCTGTTGGATTTGCTTTGTGAGGGCGATGATTGTCAATGTTTGTTCAAAAACTGTTTTTGATAACACTTTTAGTTGGTTTAGAAGCGTCTCGTAATCAGCTCAGCTTGCTTTCTACTTGATATAAAAGCGTCTTGCAATCAGCTCTTCTACTTTAGAAGCTTTACTAGCGAACTCTTTACAAGTATCTGCCGCCAGATCCTTTTCTCATACTGCTGAATTCTTTTTCAACTCATAAATTTTCACAACATAACATACTTGTGTTTTTTTTAAAAGTGTTTTTATCAGCGCAACATATCCTTTACATGTAAGATTTATGGAATGTCCTCTACCATGTGCTAATTGTTTTATGCGTTTTCCCTGATTACTTGTCATACGTTGTGCTATTTTTCCAAAATCCGAAACAAACGTTAATTGTTCATCATTTGAATCTATGATGACAGCCTGTCAGTCATCATTAGATCTACAATTTACACCAACACTTTTAAAATTTAAAATTTCCCACCATGTGACAACTAGTTTAATAAAATCAGAAATTTTTGTTTCAGTTGTTGAATGTTTCAAAAGGAGCGTTAAATGTTTTGTAAGAAAATACTTTTAAACAGGTAGACAGATTGTTTTTCAATAAGTTTCGGTCAAACAGAAGCTTTATTTAAATCAGCTTCATAAAATTTTATTAAATGATTTCAACAAGCTGTTTTCTCAACAACACTCTCTTAAAAAATAAGTTCTTCTTTTTTTCTGTGAGCCAATTATTTTGGAAGTTTTAGGTTAAGGGGACAAGAATAGAATTACCATATTTCTGAAACACAAAAAGTGGACACATTTGTTGGTTAAAAAACTAGTTGTTCTACCACAGCTAATTCCTTTTTAAATTCAAGGATGGCTCACGTTCACTAAAAAAAACAAATAAAGATCTCAGTGAAAAACCGGGGTTGTCACATTTAAAAGGTTTTTGTAACATTTAAAAAGTTAATTAATTAATCATTAGTTAAAGAGTGTTCACATTTGAATTTACTTTTTAATTTTCTAATGAAACACATAATGAGCAGATATTTTACTTGAATATGAAAGTAGACAAGTGGCAGTTAATAATGGGAAAAAAAAAGTCGGATAAATGACCACTACTTGCATCTCTACAGGCAGTGCCGGATCAAGGGGAGGCTAGGGAAGACTGTTGCCCCGGGCCCCGCAAATTTAGGGGCCCCAAAAACTTTTAGGGGATTTTTTTTTTTTTTTTTTTTTCAAGTCATTTTTAGGGTCTGACCCATAAAAAGGCCTCCAAAAACAAAAATAGTCCCGGGCCCAAAGAAGTCTTAATCCGCCACTGTCTACAGGCCTCCAATCTTTATGTAAAATTTTCCAACACATGATGACGTAATTGTGGTTCAGTTTGAATAATTTGCTTGGTTTTCTTTCAGATGTTGAATGATTTTAGGATTAGCATAAACTTTACGTACCAAAAAAAAAAAAAAAAGAAATCTAATGGCCAACAAGATCACATGATCTTGGTGGCCAATTGGCAGTTCCTCTTCAAAAAATCATTTGATCACCAAATTTCTCCTTCAAAAGATTGATTGTTTCTGTTGCTGTATGACATGTTGCAATGTCATGTCATGCAACATTGCATGACATGCTGCAATGTCATGCACCTAATTATTGTTTAATATTGATCACCATTCAGAGTAATAGTGTGTCCAGTTTTATTTTCAAAGAAATATGGAACAATCAATCCACCAGACCATGTTTATCAACCCGCCAGACCATGCTTATCAACGAAAATATTTGCTTCGAGCGAACATTTTCGCGCGAAGCAAATACTTTGTGGAAATCCACAAAATATTTTGTGATTTCCACAAAATATTTTGTGGAAATCAAATATGTTGTGGAAATTTAAAAAGGTTAATTCGAGCTTGAACATCCTGTACAAATCAAATAATAAAAACAAAAACCCGAAAAATAAAAGTTTTATTCTGATATATTCAAATTTAAATCAAAAATTAAAATTTTACTTAAAAATTTTTTTGTTTATTGTCCGTAAAATCGCCTGAGCTCGGTCACTTAGGCTTTGAACATTTATTTATCACGCATAAATAAAAAAAACTTTCAGTTTTTTTTTCCTGAAAATCATATTGATAACTAAATTTGTAAAAATAAAAAAATGAAAAATAAAAACTAGTAATCAATATTTAACTTTAAATGAGAACATCTACTTTGACCTTTCAACAGCATTTCATAATTTTTTTTATTTTTATCATAATTAGTCAACTATTTTCTGTCTTTGGCCTTTATATTATTATAGTTATATTTTTTATTGTTATAATTATTATCATTATTATTACTAAGATAAATTGTATATATATATAAATTATTTTTAAAGGTACTTACTTGAGATTAGTATTTCAATACTATTTTGTAAATAGCCGTGAAAATTTATTTTCAGAATCTAAATATAAACAGCGCAATATATATGATTGATTGATTATGGAATTCAATTAATTGATGACGTAATAACTACAAACAAATAAAACAGTTTTTTTATGTATGTATTATATTTTTATGTATGTACTTTTAAAAGTTTAATATCAAATTTTAATTTAATATCACTTTTCTTTTTTTTTTATTTCTCGAATTCATAATTTGTTTTGTAAATTTTTTGAATCTATTTAATTAAATTATAAAAAGTCTATCAAACTTTTTTTTAAACTTTAAATTTAAATTCATTTTAATTTTTGTCGTATTTTTTTTTTTTTCTAATAACATTTTTATTATCTGCAAAATACATTTTTGTGATATATTTGAATAATGGCGTTGCCAAAATTTTTCAAACTTGTTATAAATGTCTGTTTGTATATGAATTCAACTGAAGTGCTATATTATCTCGAGCCATTATCAATCATTTCAAAAATTAAAGGGGAACGATGTGAATGCACAGATACATATACACCATCCCAGTTATTATATAAGGTTTCTTCGTCTTGTTTTGAAGGCAAGAATTTAATCTATGGATTTTGTGAACCGACTTTAATTACGAGTTCTAATGTCGTAATTAAATGTTTAACAAACCATCAAACTCTTTTAAAGAACTTCACTGCTACTTGTTCGCCATATAATAGCGTATGGAGCTTCTACGAATACCCGGTATTTTCAAATTACAGCTTTTATCTAATTTACATGATAATTGGAGGTTTAATTGTTATTCTTACTTTATCTATGAACTTTTTAATCATATTCGCAGTTGCAAAATCTAAACCTTCTAAATCGCTTAATGCTGTGATATATGCAGTACATATGGCTTTAATTGATCTATCGTTAGGACTTTTTGCTCAACCCATGTTTTTATTTTTGCTTATTGTATCTGAAGAGTACTCGTTTCACGATCACATCGTTATATCTAAAAAAACATACACATCTTTGACAAACTGGTATGAGCAGATAGATTACATACTAATAAATGCCCAGTTTGCAAATTTAGCAATGTTGTCGGTAGAAAGATGCATTGTTGTAGTAAAACCGTTTTGGTATTTTGAGAAAGTTACGTATAAAAGTTGCGTTTATTCGATAGGAGTGGTGTGGGTTTATACGCTAGTAATATTTTTGTTTAATTTTTTTTATAAAAATGTTCAAAATGTAATATATATTACATTAACGTTTGCATATGGCATACCCACAATTATAATGGTAATAAGTTATCTTATAATCATGTATGAACTTCGGAAGTCTAAGTTTCAAATAATTCCTAATTCAATCAAAAATAACCATTTGTTAGTGGCATGCAGACTTGTCAAGCTTGTTGCGGCTTTCATTATTTTCTGGATACCGTTTTTTATTTGTTTTATGCTGCAGCTAAAAAGTGAAACTACGGAGATAAAAAATGCAACTTTTTGGACAAAGCTGTTATCTTACTGTCATTGTTTTCTTGATCCAGTACTTTATTCTATTTCCCATTATAAAATTAAAAAAGAAATTGGTAGAACTATATTATCTTTGACAGGAGTCAATGTAAAATCGAAGGAAAAAGTTTCTTTACATCCGAAATCTTCCAATTTATCTAAAATTGTAAAGAATAAAAGTTACATTGTTAATACGATATTTGAAAAAAAAAGTTAATTATTTTTAATATTTAATTTTCTAACCATATATATATATATATATATATATATATATATATATATATATATATATATATATATATATATATATATATATATATATATATATATATATATATATATATATATATGTTTGTATGTATATATATGTAAATTAAATCCGATAGAAATATTAATTATGAAAGACACCAAACTAATGGTATAATAATTAAAAACCCATTGCAAAACCTGTTTGATCATAATATTTTTTGTCAAAAAGAAAATGATAACAATTTGAAATCTGAAAAAATATTTTGATATATTGAAATTTTTAAAATATTTTATGAATTTTTGAAATTCATACTAAGCAAGTTTTATCTTTAAAGAATAAATTAGAAAATAATTGAAATTCCACTTCAAAGTTTTTTAAGGAAGTTAAAAGCAAAATAATTTTATAATGCTTTTACATACAACGCGATTGGACAGAGAGGGTTGCCGAGCAGGGACTACTTTAATCCTTTTATGAACTCGGCCACCGAGTGTGTTGCAACGCAACTGCTCTTATCTATAGTCCTCCAAAAATGCACAAACTGAATTCTTTTGAGACTACAATGAATTTCAAACCTATTGTATCATAAATTGGTACTTATAATTATCAACTAGCCGAATTTCTTAGAGATCTGTGATTTCCATTAACACCCACTAAAATTTGCACAAAAGGCTTGTTTTCTTTCGTTAAAAAAAGGGTCAAATCGATATCCATAAACATTTTGTAGCAACATATAATGTAACCAAGTTATCAACCAGCGTTTTAAAAAACCATTAAAAATGTAGTTAATTTAATTATACTTATTAAAAACATAAAATTACAAACAATGATTTGGTATTGTGGTTTATCCTTCTCCGGCTAATTGCCATATAGAGGCCACATTACCAAGGCCCGCAAAGACAGATTCGGCTCCCCAAGGAGCGTCATAACCCGCTCTACGGACCAAGAGTAAAGTGAGTTTAGGAAGAACGAAGATATGTTAGAGTGAAAGACAGAAGCAGTCGTATTAGAAAGATAGCATAGAGAAAGCGGACAGGATTGCACTCGATGTTAGGAGGTGCAATAGGTTTGTTTATAGTTGTTTTATTTACATATGACTGCGATTATGACAACAATGTTTTTATAAAACTTTATTAATTTTGTCACTCCATGAGCACATTTTCTTTTTATAGGACAAACTTAAGATCAAACTGATAGTGGGTATATTTTGATTCAGTTTTGTGTTGCTAGTATTCTAGGACTAGAATAAAACTGTAGTTTTGTTGGACGTATTTTCTATAATATTATTGGGGTATTTCACAATGTTTTACACATGACTTAAACATACCAGTTCACTTAAACAAATTTTTTCAATATCGTAAGTAAAAGCAAAAATACTGATTCAATTAATATTTTAGTTAAATTATAAGAAATATTAATTTTAATATGTAATGGTTGATGACTGTTATTTAGTCTGTAAGCTTCTTTTAAAAATATGCTTGTTTTATTATTATTATTATTATTATTATTATTATTATTATTTTCATTTTTTTTGTTTTTTTTTGTTTTTGTCTATATTAAAAATCTATAATATAAACACCAAGGTTACTGATTCCCTGATTCCGTATCACTGTAATTTATGATTCCTTAACGGTTAATTATAATAATAAAATTTATTTTGTAATAATTTATTAAAAGCGTAATTAATTATTTATATCACAAATATTATTTTTGCTTTTAGTAATTAATGAGATTAAATAAGACTTCACCGGGTGGAACATATAAATATCAGTTAAGACAAAATTTTAAAAAAATTCTATATTCACGTTCAAAAAGTAAGTGAATACTTATTTAATTAGAAATATATTGAATTATATATATATAATATAAAAAACTATAAAAAATTATATATGTGTGTGTGGTTTGCACAAGTCAAATATGAAATGCTTGTTAACATTTTACTATCAGTTTACATTTTATGTGAGATTTTTTTTAATGCAAAAGAAAAACTATATCCTCAAATTTAAAGAAAATCAAATAAAAAACCAATTCTTCGGTTCAAAAAAATTTCATTCGGACTTGAATACACAGTTTAGTGGAATATTACACTAAAAAACGGTAATCTTAATTACCACAAATCTCGTAAAAGCTTTCTTGAATTATAACTTCTTTGAATATTTTTCATAAAACTATTATTTTTAAAACATATTGATATTTGTTAGTGTAAATATTTACCATACATCCACTTTTTCCCGGATCTGTCCTCTTTTTTATTAAAAAATCTGTCCAGGAAAGTTTCCTCAACTAGCCACAAATGTTCAGGTTTTCACTTAAAACTCAGCTAATAGGTTTTATTTATCACAAAGTTCATTATTTGTACACGAAAATTAATAAATTAATCAAAAGTATTAAAAAAAGTTCACAAAATGTTGACCAAGCTGTACTTCGCTATCAATATTTCGTGGCAAATCCTTTGCTGTCGATCACACCCTTGCATTTTCGAGGCATAAATTCTATCAGGTTATTAATGAAACTTTGTGAAATTGCTGCCCAGGTCTTTTAGATTTGTTGAAACAGTTGATCCTTACGAACACCTTCACGGTTAATTCTGCGGTTGACGATCTTCCACAGGTTCTCAATAGGGTTGAGATCCGGAGACTGAGGCAATCGATCCATCACCGATAGGTAGTTTTCTTGAAACCACTGCTCGACTTCTTTTGCAGTGTGTTTTAGATCGTTGTCTTGCTGAAAAACCCATTCTATTGGCATATTCCATTCAGCATGAGGTAACATAACATTTTTCAGGATATTTTTATACATGAAACGGTCCATTATTCCGTTGATTCGATGTTGATTCGATGTATTGGACCTAGACCGTTAGCAGAAAAACACCCTCAGACCATTACATTGCCTCCACCATGCTTCACGGTTGTATGGCAGTAACGTAAATCCAGGCGTTTTCCGCCCGGTCGACGTACACGGCAAATACCATCGCTCCCAAATGATGTTGAACTTCGATTCATCACTGAATAGAACAGTTAGCTATTTCTGGAAATTCCAGTCAGTATAAGATGTAGCAAACAGGAGTCTTTTCTTCTGGTTCTTTAGTGAACTCAGAGGTTTCTTTGCAGGGCGTCGAGAAAATACCGGCTTTAACAGCACGTCGTCTGATAGTTTGGTCCAATATAGGCCGCTCTAATTGCTTTTGTATTTCAACTGATGATATCCAGGGATCCTATTTGACAGATTTGACGATCATAGAGTACTCTCTAGAAGTGGTGGAACGCGGTCTTCCACCTTTGTTATCTGTTGCCAACTTCCACGTAAAACGATATTTGGAACATAGTCTTGGTACGGTCCATTTTTTCACGCGATATTTATCTCAAATACTTTTTTGTGACATTCCACTTACGTTTTCGCCAATAATTTTCTTTCTTAGTTCCAATCCAAGACTGTCGGGAGCCATTTTTGCACTTAAAGTCATAAAAATAATAAAAATAAAAATAAAAACGCTTCTCAAGGCTTACCGTGTTACATTTACCTTACTGATGATACAATAGTGCTCTGTGGAAGACAACGTTTTGGTTGGATGTAAACTATACTGACGTAATGAAAAACTTGTTGTATTTCACTTCTTGTATTGATGTTCTTTGATAAAACACTTTGATAAAACTCACTTCGATAAACTGACTGATATGATTTACTTAATTTTTATTTAATACTGACTGATTGATTTCCATATACTGACTGAATTACATGTCGATTTACATGTCTCTTATAGAGTAAAATGAACCTGTGTGAACCTGTTCTGGAAGATTCTAGATGCTTCTTTTCGAAGCTTCTAGAAGCTTCTGGATGCATCTGGATGCTTCTGAATGTTTCTGGATACTTCTGGATGCTTCTGGATGCTTCCAGATGCTTCTTCTGGATACTTCTGCATGCTTCTGGAAGCTTCTTGAAACTTCTGGATACTTCCATTAATTATTAAAAAACTTCCGTGACGTTGACACGGACCAGACTTAAGAAAATGAAACAAACCAAAAAAGTTGCACTTGTTTTGTCCGCTGCAAAATGGCACTTGTCAACAAAATTCTGCCTGTGTGCTGTCACCTGTCAGCTGATTGCTCATGTCATGGCATGCTATGACTCCAGACTCCTGAACTGTTTGCTGTGTTAGTATAGTTCGTTTCGTTCTTAAGACATGTAAAATAAGGAACACTTTTTAGCATTATTCGATGTTGGTTGCAAATGTTTTGTCCGATACTGTAGTTTTTATAAACAAAGCTTTTTAGAGATTATCTTGGCGATTTTTTTTTTTTGTTTGATTTTCTCCCATTTGCTATGATTTACAAAATTTTCGGATACGGATGTAACTGAAACAGTTTATTTTATTTTTACGCACAAAATAATTTAATTTTCTCCGAATAACCTATTAAAAAATTCATAATAGTTTCTGAACTACCTTTTTACCGATAAAATAACTTACTATCAAACTCGTGGATAGAATCCATCCATGATGCATCTTATGGTCTAAAAATTCACTCAAGGGTTCATAATGTGTATATCTAAAATTCCAGTTTACAACATATACCTTCTGATGACTTATGGCGTAAATATATACGTATTTCATTAAAAAACAGTGATTTTTATGTCTATTTTGTTTAAAACTATTAATTAACTGTAATTTAGACATTGAGTTGTAAACTGGAATTTGAGATCCAATTGAAATTTATCATTTTAAGTAATAACATTGATAGCTAGGGAAATTGTCATTTAGTCTATCCAGCTGATTATTTCTAGTTTTAGTACTAGTTTTTTAAATAAATTGAATTTCAATATCAATATTGCTTTTAAAGAGCAGATTATAAAAAAACGCACGATATATATTTATACTTAAAAAAATATAATATACAAAAATACATAAATATATATCTATAGCCCTAAGGCAAAAAAAATTGCCGTGTATATTGAATATTAAATCTAAATTGAAA